TTTGGTTAAATGAGGATTAGAAGAGTCAATATAAAGTAAACACCTTTGAACACCCTACACCCAAATTAAAACTCAAATCAACTAAGTATTTCAATAAAGCTAACTTGCCCCCTTTAAGGATCTCCACCCATATAACTTCAAAATTAAATGACAAGTGATAATTACCTTACTCTTAAGGATAATTGAAACATCAATATTCATTGAGCATTAAAGGTGTTTACAAGATGAGTTATTAAGCAACATAATAGTTTTAAATGAGCTCGAGACTTTTCACCAGGTAGTAAGAGGGAAGCATGGACCTGCTTCTTCCTCTAGGCCTGTTGAATACCTCAGAGGTCTACTAAACTTAATAAGTTTTGCTTATCCAAAATTATCATTAATCAAACTAATAGGTACCCACCAAGATGTGACCTAGGGTTAGGTAGGTCACTAAAACCTTACTTTTTCCGCTTTACATAAGATTTTCTAACATGCATTTTGAGTTTCAAGTGGTGGAACGAGAAGACTCGCCTAGTACGCTTTTATAGTTTAGAACATTGTCTTTTCTTAAGCTTTCCACATTGTGATTACTTACCTGCATGTATGAACAAAAAACAAACTTGCATGCTAAACAAAAAATGTAACCCTGCATGAAAATTAAAACTATCAGGAACGCCACAAAACCAAAACTAAAATCAACTAAGATAAAATTCACCTCCACAACATTCAAAATATAAGACAACTCAAAATTTAATCACAAACATCACAAAAAAAACAACAACTATAACTAAATTAAGACGTCTCTATTGGATGAAAATCCCTCGGAGGAGGTAACCTACGGTTGCTAACGAGGCTTCTCATGGTCTAAATGAATTTATGAAACTCATTAAGTTGAGTTTAGTAAATTCATTTGGACTAAGTGAATCTAATAGAAAATAGTGGTGCCGGAACAAGGGAATCATGTGATCCTAATCGGTGTCACTCTAATCAACTTTAACATCCCCCATAAAATTTAAAGAACTTCATCCATAGAGTCGTCTGATTTGACATCATAACTTGACACCCTAGAAAACATAAACTCACCATGACAAGGAGTTTGGTGCTAGCATGTTGGGCAGCAAGACCATCTTCAACAACTAAATCTGTCTTCCCCATTTAAACAAATTTCCTTCCTTAGAATTAAACAACCAATCCATAGGATTTCGAGGTTGTCTGCTTATGCAACATAAATCCTCACCTTATCTTTAGGCCTTCGTACAACTCTGATGTACAATATAAGCCCTAACTTATCTTAGGATTCTGAGGTTGTCGTTTTTCCCGACCTAAATCCTCACATCTTCCAGGCTATTTTTTCGATCATTTCACATGAATGTAAGCCCTAATTAAACAAAATTGGCTTAAAATTAGAAAGATAAAGCACCTAAATATTTCTCCTCAAAACTGAAGCAAAACATTAGGATAGACCGAGAAGTCACCGAGGCTCTCCTCCGGATCTATGACATCCCCTAGTTCTTCCTCTATATTCTAAAAACAAAATGGTCCAAATTTGAGCCAATCCCATTTCACACCTCTTTGTCCCTTATAATTTAAAAGTCCTATCCTTTTGAAATCCTTGAAGATAATATTTCCTGATTTTTATCGAGAGTTTTCTTAGGTAGCTTTGGTCATTTAGGATGTAATTAACTATAGGGGCTTGCCCTTATAGGAATCTTGTCTGAATCCAGCTTAATATAAACCTTATTTAATTCTTCATATTAAATAAGGGAAATTATTAGCAAATAAAACAGTTTCGCAGACCTAACAGGCGTTATATATTTCTCAGTTTATTTGATCGAGTCTCGTCCTTAAGTCTTGTGTTTATCCTTTGGGATAGATACAGGGTTTGAGGTACTCTTTCATTTAAACTATGAAAAATATTGGGTCAGTTTGATTTCATATTTTTCTAAACTTAAAATATATATGTAAATTAAAATGTCCTTCCAAAGAAGGCGACGGGATTTCAATTCCGGTGCCCGACAGCTTCTTAAGGGCAACTCTCTTGACCAAAATAGTGCCGAAAGAATAGTGTCGAAAGCATGTTGTAGAAATCATAGCCCTTTTGGAAAATATGTTTCTCAACATACTTTAACTTCTCAATTGGTCAAATTGAAAAGTAAAGGAAGATCGGAGCTCAAAAAATCACAAATTATTGATATTTAAAACCGTATAAATTTAAAACCGTATAAAATAAAAACCGTATAAAATAAAATCAAATCTTCACAAAACCATATCTCAAAGTAGAAAGAAGGATAAAGAAGACAACTCAAAATTCATGAGAAGGTAATAAAAAATACAGATTATATATTTAAAAATAAGTTTACAAATGAACTTAAGAAAAGAACACAACTTATCTCAATATTCTTCTCAAGGAAATCCCAAGAAGTTCTCTTCAAGGACTTCCCTCTTTACAAGCACTCTCAATTTTCTCTTAGAAGTATAATGAAGAAGAAATATCTCACCTTCCATCTTCTCTTACAATCCTTCAAAAAAATCTCTAAGCCTTTGAATTTCTCTCTCTCTATCTCACGCCACTCTCTCTCTTCAGGCCCCCTTTCACGCATACCACAAGCCCTAGACTTTCCTCTCTTTTATTAAAGGTTGCCCCCCTCTAAAAAGAAATTCAAAATTCTCTCCAAAATTCTATCCTAAAATCAAACGTTTTGAATTCAAAAGACATGTCTATTGATCCAAGAGACATCCCTTCATAAAAGAACTTTTCAAAGTGTCTAGATGAATTGAATCACTCCATGAGGCATTTAGAACAAGTGTCCCTTTTAAAATTTGCTCCAAATTCATTTCGAACAACCTTAATCCACAAAAAAGTCATCTCTGGAGCTTCAGGCGCTCGTTCTAGCGCTTTAGACGCCAACTTGCTTAAGACCACGTTGTTCTTTTCGCACTTCAGGAGCCAAATATGACGCTTCTGGTGCTAGCTCTTTTTCAAATGATGCTCCGGGCATCAATTTTGGTGCTTCAAGTGCCAGTTCTCTCTAAGTGGCACTTCAGGTGCAAGTTCTGGCGCTTCAGGCGCCAGAATCCCAACATTCCTTTTTTTGGCTCCAAATTTCATTTTTTTTTTGCTAGTTTTGCTCCAAATACCTAAAATTGATATAGCTACAACAAAAACATGAAAAAACTCTTCTTTAAAGTACAATATCAACAAAAATAAGCATGAAATTTATACTTAAAACAATATATTATTTTGATGTATCATCCTTCCTGAGGTGATTTCATCTTTACAGTAGGATCCTTCATTTATCTTCTTTCTAAAGGCATCCATGCTGCTTACTTGGTGGGTGTAAGTCCCCTTACTATTAATTCTATCTATTGAGGTTCTTAGGGCTTTATAAGTCTCTTTTGTCTTACTTAAGAGCTATTTAGATTTCTTGAACGATTCAATTCATGGATTGGTATCAAGAGATCTCTAGTCTGGTTGGGTCAACTGCCTTCACTTCCAGGAAGACCTATAGACTTAATAGACTGAGATGACAGATCCTTGGAGTACTGACCTAAATATCTCTATCCATTTAGGATTTCTAACCCTTTATTGATAAACGTCTTTTTATCCCATTTGATACTCGTTCATATTGTATCATAAGCCTCATTTACAGATAGACCACTCTTTGTTTGGGATACAATGGTTCACAATTTGCCCTTATGACACAATAACCTTTGAAGTATAGAAATTTTTCTGTTGAGATGACCTACTTTTTTCCTGGGCCTCATTTACATACAAGCCACCATCCATTTACAGATCTTAGGGACTCATCCTCAATCAAGGAATTTTGTGTAAACACGAGTAAACAATTTTCATAGACTGGTAATATTAGGAGACCTTTTCAAGCATAGCAAGGCCATTTTCTTCTAAAAATGTAGATGTCAAGATCCACCTATTGACCTCATCTGTAGAAGTGTTAAGTATTAAGTCCCAACTGCATGTTGACTTACTAGTTTGGCCTGTTGAATTGGCTTGCCCAAGTACCAACTATCCTATTTCTGCTGTCGAGTTGATCTATAGTGTTTATTAGCCGACCTCGTTTAGCTAGGATTCTACAGTGGTAACCAACCGCTGAAGTATTGTTCATCATTAAAGGTCTGAAATAAGTTTATGTTTATTTGTGAGTCATGTGACATCTACATCATCGTCATCTTTCATCAGCATTTCATGGACAAACCTCATATTGTACTAAAGCATTTTAATATTCCGTCTTTATAACCCGACAAAGGAAGAAGAATCCATCTTGAGTAATGATAAAAAGAGATTCTCCCGTCTTCTGAGGTAAGAGGCTATTTTACTTCCCTTCATTCTCACCCTTCTTTGAGATCAGAGGAGAGAACTTCGGAAGCATACAACTGTTGCCTTGATCCACTTCCTTGGCAGGTCTCTCCTTGGTTTTATGAGCTTATGAAAGTAATGAGACCTATCCAACCTTTTTTGTTTTTGTCCACTACATGCATACAATAATAATCTCATATATTAACATACCCAAAATAAAAAATTTGATATTAACATTTTTAATATTACATTATAAATATCACTATTAAAAATTTTTGAAGAGCGAAACACACATTTTCATGCATAAATTTATAGTATCAAAGTGTTAAAAATATAAATATCAAAATTTATGTTTTGGCCATTTCTTTTTTTTTTTTCTTATTTGAGCGAGAAAAGCGACCACCTCAATATGCTGAAGAGTGTTTGTTAGATTTAGAACACCATCTTAAATAATCCTAGATGATGCCAAAAGACTTACATTATTGTCCCTATTGCTTTATCTTTAGCTCGTGTGAGAAGCTTAATATTATTATCCAAATTATTAGCGTAAACAGATCGAATTCAATACACAGCAATTGTTAAAATCCTAATTCTGTTTGCATGACCTTTCGTGAAACGAATATAATTGCCAGAAAAACATAGAAAAGAGAATCATTACTAACAATAATAAAAAAAAAGGAAGTCAAACGTTTGCCACAGCAATTGACTATGAGAAATGGTTCGCTTCACATTCGGTTCTATAGAAACCTGCTGCCAGAGAAGTATCATTTGACGGCACGGGAAGCCTTAGGTTGCAATCCAAGTCCGGCTTGAACTGCTCGCTCTTTATCATGAACATTTTTAGCCGAACCGTGGCATAAATCTTCACCCTCACATGAAAGAAACCTTCTCCTTTCTCCCGCTCAAAACCTTGCCTCACCGAGTCGGTTGATACCGTACTCCGACCCTCTAAGCTCACATTCAACGACATCCAACTGTTTCTTCCTTGATAATTCCGAAGCGAGCCCGCGTGAGCGAACTGGTATCCATCATAAAACGCTACGGTATTTAGTCGCTCGTAGTAGAAGCTGTATTTGCGGTTTGGATTTCGTAAGCTGAGCATGAAAGAGAGTTTGTAGTTGAGACTGCCGTTGCCGGGTGAAGAGAGATTGAAGACTGATAGAGTGGCATTATCGGCGTAAGCCTTGAGGCTTTGTGGCTGAAAGATAAGCCAGAGAGTCAGAACGATGACGCAAAGAAAGATGAGGATTATAGTTATAATCTTGAAAGAGATACAGAACATGGTGTAGGCGTTGAATTTTGTGCTAGTCCGATCAGTGGGAGATAAACGGACGTGGGTTTGAGTGGGAGGAATGGAAGGGCCGTAGAAGGTTTGGTTTAGATGACATTCCTTGTTGCCTTCGGCCATCGGGTGTGTTTAGGGTAGCAGGGAGTGAGGGGAACGAGATGGCAAAATAAAGGAATACCTGGTGAGTGTTGGAACTGGGGAACAGGGCCAGAAAGATTTGAGAAACTTCGGGTGGGAGGCATAGGGAGAGAGAATTGTGGTGTCATTGACCAAGCTTTTGCCCTGCTTCATTCAAGATTAGAGTGTTGGAACTGGGGAACAGGGCCAGAAAGATTTGAGAAACTTCGGGTGGGAGGCATAGGGAGAGAAAATCGTTGTGTCATTGACCAAGCTTTTGCCCTGCTTCATCGATGGATGCCATTCTTGATTGACAGTAAGCAAGCATTTGCCTGCGGCGTACGGTATCTGCGCATCCTTCAAAGGGCGGGCTCGGTCAGGTGTTTGTTCCGTCTTTGTTACTTTTACTGTTGGCCTGCATCTCATATTAAATTCAGTTTTAAATTAATTTAAAATGAAGCCAAATTTAGCTAGGTTGGGAAATAAATTGTATATTGACCTCCTCAATCCTCACGACAGAACGAGTGCATGGTAATTGCTGGATTTTAGACTACAAATTTATTATTTGTATGACCAAAAAAACAGGCATCCTTGCCAGAACAAAAGAAATCGCCACCGTCGAGGATGGTGTAGCAGGAGTCACCAACACCTTATCGGCCATTGGACCAACCACACCTTGTCGCCTTGTCGGCTGGCCACGTGGGCCAGCCACCTTGCCGGCCACTTCGAGTCACCATCTTGTCTGTCAGTCACCTGGCCGACAAACTGATCTCGGAACAACCGACCACCTTGTCAGTTACCTGAAGAATCTATTGGTCACCATGGCTGGCCACCCATGGACGATCGACCTCCTAAGTCGACAATTTGTTGCTAGCGAAGACGGATCTAGAGAAAATTACCTCTCACTAGTCCTATTTCCTCTCTCCACTATATTTTCTCGATAAATAAAGGAACCCTTGGATTTAAAATGGGTCGCTATTAGGTTCTCCGTCTCTCCGCCTCATACAAGGAGGTTGTTGCTCTTCTTCTTCATTTGTAACCTATGTGAAATAAAAGGGTTCGCCAAGACCGGGCACCACCACTATTTGCCCCCACATCCCATTCCGTCCCAAACAAATTTTGATTCAAACTTGAAGTCCCTGAGTTTCTTACGTATTGGAAGTGAAACCACGATAAGAATGGAAAACTCATTAGGGTAGGAAATTTTTTTTTTAGGCTTAAGTTTAAACTTATATCAATCCTCCCAACCCCCCCTTGGGGGCTGGCCCCGGGGGCCAGCCCCCCTTGCCGGCCACTTCGAGTCACCATCTTGTCTGTCAGTCACCTGGCCGACAAACTGATCTCGGAACAACCGACCACCTTGTCAGTTACCTGAAGAATCTATTGGTCACCATGGCTGGCCACCCATGGACGATCGACCTCCTAAGTCGACAATTTGTTGCTAGCGAAGACGGATCTAGAGAAAATTACCTCTCACTAGTCCTATTTCCTCTCTCCACTATATTTTCTCGATAAATAAAGGAACCCTTGGATTTAAAATGGGTCGCTATTAGGTTCTCCGTCTCTCCGCCTCATACAAGGAGGTTGTTGCTCTTCTTCTTCATTTGTAACCTAAACTTTTGTGAAATAAAACCAAGACCGGGCACCACCACTATTTGCCCCCACATCCCATTCCGTCCCAAACAGATTTTGATTCAAACTTGAAGTCCCTGAGTTTCTTACGTATTGGAAGTGAAACCACGATAAGAATGGAAAACTCATTAGGGTAGGAAATTTTTTTTTTAGGCTTAAGTTTAAACTTATATCAATCCTCTTTCTAGCCATTTAATGAATAAATCTTTCGAAGAAAAATCATTAGTTAGTGTCCAGAGCTTTGGAGAATATAATCAAGCTTACATTTTGAATTTTTGGATAGAAAGAATCACACGACACAAGCCCACGAGCCTCACCATGCACGACATGTTTGACGTTGTTGTCGCTGCCTTCGTAGGGGTAACCACCGAGACTCACTTGTGGAGTGATTTGCACCGTAACCCTTATGAATACTATCGCTTCGGGACAAGGAACTAGGTCCATAGCTTCTTCGAACTTGAGCTTTGTAAATGGGTTCTTTGGAATTTCTTGAGGGGGAGATGAAACTTTGTTTGCTCATCTCAGATGAGAGAGTCGAGTCAAGAAATAAATCCTTGGAATGCTCAACCCAAAGGAGGGACTTGGAGAGTTAGTGAGTTTGTTTTGCTCGCTCTGGAGAAGAAGCTTGGAATACTCTTTCCTTAAGAGAGGCTTAGAGATATTTTGTTGGCTCGCCTTAGAGCTTAGGCTTGGACAGAGAGAGTGTGATCTTATTTTTTGAAATGCTCTCTCAGATGAGAGACTTAAATGAGAAGAGAGATGTCTTTTCTAGTTTTTTATTTTATTTTCTTTATTTACTTTATCTACATTCTTCTTCTTCTTCTTTCATTTTTCCTTCTTTCATAATTAATGTACAAAAAGTACAGAAATTATAGCGAGGATGTGATTTTTTATGCACCAAAAATATATGCATTTTTAGACCTATATTTTATACTCATTTTTTATGATATTACACTTTAAAAAAAGATATTTTTCATTTTTTATTGCAGGTTGATGAATTTTAGCACTTGAAGTAAAAAAGAAGCAAAAAGGATGAAATTTTAAGTTAAAATAGTGTTGTCGAAGAAATACTCAGCGCCGGCGGCGCTAGCATGGATACTGACTACGCCAGCATGAAGGAGGATTCCAGAACATCGGGGGCACCGAAGGTGCCATTTGATAGAGAGCACAAGAAATAATTTGAACCACGGGCATCGACGGCGCCATCGTGGGCGCCTACCGCGCCAATGTGGGCGTTGGGTAAATTTCTAGAAGATTTGATGAATTTTGATGCTTTTTGAAGATTTATTGGATGAACCTCTTAGAAAATCGACATTATGCTCTATTTAGAGTGAAAATTGATGAGAGAAAAGGGAGGCTAGTGTGTCATTGAGTTTTCTTTAGTGTTTCTCTGTGCATATTGTTTAGTGTGGTGAGTCTAATTAATTGTGATTTCTCCTAAGAGTTGTTTGAGAGGGAGAGAAGTGAGAGATTTCTTCTTCCCTACATCTTTGAAGTCAGAATCAAGAGTCTTGTAAAGAGAGAAAAGTCCAATAGGAGCTACAAGGAATTTGCTTTGAGGAAGAGTTAAAGATAAGTAGTTTTTGTTTATTATTGTTGTATAACATTCTTCTATATATGAAATTTGTATTTCATCGTGTCTTTCTCATGAGGTCTGAGTAGTTTTCTTTGTCTTTCTTCCTACTCTGAGATATGGTGAAATTAAGAGATAATTTGGATGTACCAATTTTAAAATATAAAACAAATTGTCATGATTTTTCACTCCGTTCTTAATTTACTTTTCGATTTGTTCAATTGAAATGTTAACATCTATTGAGAAACATATTATCCGGGAAATGGAGTATTAGTTTTACAACAAAGTGAGAATCACATTTGATCCATGAAGGAGTGTTTCATTCATGGAATTGGATGCAAATAACTAGGGAAAAATATATTATTGGTAGAAGAATTGGAGATTCTAGGGTGACAGACTAAAATCCCTAATTTATTTCCTTAGTGTTTACGAACTAAAGCGAGAGTTAGCCTTTAGGGGAAAGAAAGTGGGAGCTTTAGAGTAAGAGCCAATATCATCCCAGCCTAACCACGGATTTAGAGACTAAACCTATAATTAACCAACAATTCTCTATAACACTTGACTAAGGGTAGAGAATTAAAATTGCTCCTATTTGGCACAAGACATGTTAAAAGCATTTATCTCTCTCTCTCATTTAACCAAAAACTCATTATAGTGGGAAAGATGCTTTCTCATATTAGATAATTTCATCACAAAAATATAGTTTGGTAGTTATTGTTTAGCTTTGCTTTACAGTTTTACTAATAGTTAGTGATTTAATTCTGATAACACCTTAAACATTCGAAATTAGTGTAGTAGATTTTCTTTATTGTTGTGAATTTCCTAATTTAAATTTCCATTGTGAATTTAAACCTTCCTCATGAGATCAAAATTTGGGGCTTAAATAGAAATTTCTGTATTACTTGATAACGATACATATACTTGCATAGAATACCAACATAAATTGCGTCAAAATAACAAATCAAGTTTTTGGCGCTGTTGCAAAGCAGAATCAACTTTATTAATTTTAGAAATATATAATTTTGGGGATCAATTTTCTCTTTCTTTTTTATTTGTACCTAACATTCGAGCCTTTGGAATATGAAAGGAGTCCATTCCTTTCTTCGCTTTTATCTTTTTTTTTTGCATTTCCTTCTCTTGTCTTTTCATCTCTTCACTTTATTGCTTGTGACCTTTTTTCCTTTTAGCTTTTTGCTTTATTTTCTGCTCACTTTATGCCTCCATCATAATTTTCTCTTCTTTTTCTTCTTTTGATTTCTTAATTTGATTTTTTGTTTCTCTATCATCTGATCATCCCCAACTTGGAAAGTTTTTTGTCTTGTTGGATAATTGCTTCATGCTCATAGCACCTTTAGAATGTTAAATCCAAATATTTTTTTTTGGACCGTATCTCAGTGATAGAGCAAGACTTTGAGGGGTGGAGAAAGAGATGGAGAGTGTAGACCTCACTTTTGGTTGAGGTTTAGTTTTTCATCTTTAGTTGCATAGGGTCTAGCCGTAGGACTTTTCTGTTAACTATTCTTCGAAAACTAGAAAAGGAACCCTCATCATTAGAAATTCCAAACTCCTCTTTATTCAACTTGAAGTTATAATGAAGTTCCACATATTGGTCCTAACCTTTAGCACTTAGTAGGTGGGGTCAGTATGGAGGATATCAAGGAGAGCTCCCATAGGATAGCTTGACCTTAGGCTTGACCCTGGGTGTTGGTCTGAAGCTAAGGTACTCACCTCACTCACAATCACTCACACCCTAAACCCAAAATTTCTTGCCTTTGATCCCTTAATCCTTTGGGAGACTCATGTAGATGGTCCCCTAAACCCACTGGCCCTAGGCTAGGGTTTAGCTAAGACGAGTACATAGAGGACCCAAATCGGGTTTTCATTGCTTCATAGCTCTTTTATGGTGGTTGGCATCCCAACTCCACCAAAATTACCCAACATGTCCTTTTTGCCCCTAAACTCCCCCAAATAC